AATAGTGTGCCTCTGTGTTACGCAATCAACTTTTTTCTTTTCTACGTTGTTTTTTCTTATTCTTCACAGTTGAAACTATGTCGACAGCGCCTATCATAATGTTTAAGCTTGATCTTTGGTCGAGTAAGAAACTTACTTCCTCCTTGGCAACACGACACCCTTTTAAACAGCAAAAAATTCCTGACATCTTTGACGGCCTGGATACGGTTTCATTAAGCTCCTGTATTGTATCCGTTATTTGGATATTGTTGGCCTGGGATTGTGGAAAGGGAGTGCCTGGAAAAATTAGAATAACACATGGAATGTGGGATTTGAAATGTGAAATTGAAGTACGGAACTTAGCTACGAAGGTTATTATAAGATGGTTAGAGAGTTTATCTTACTCTAGCATAGCATCGCTTAGAACACCAAATAACGTTTATAAAATGTTTGCGAATTTATGAGTATTTGACATACACTTTAAAAACTTCGAGTCGATGGGGGCACCCCAAAACATAAGATTGAGATTACTGHTTTTTATACTCTCGCAACAAAGTTGCTAAAGAGAGTATTATAGTTTTGTTCACATAACGGTTGTTTGTAAGTCCTAAAACTAAAAGAGTCAGATATAAGGTTATATATACCGAAGTGATCAGGGTGACGAGTAGAGTTCAAATCCGGATGACTGTCTGTCCGTCCGTCCGTCTGTCCGTCCGCCCGTGCAAGCTATAACTTGAGTAAAAATTGAGATATCGTGATGAAACTTGGTACACGTATTTCTTGGCTCCATAAGAAGATTAAGTTCGAAGATGGGCAACATCGGCCTACTGCCACAAAATAACGGAAACCGAAAACCTATAAAGTGTCATAACTAAGCCATAAATAAAGATATTAAAATGAAATTTGGTACAAAGGATCGCATTAGGGAGGGGCATATTTGGACGTCATTTTTTTGCAAAAGTGAGCGTGGCCGCGCCCCCTACTAACTTTTTTCTACATATCTCACTAAAAGTGCGTTCACCGACTAACAAAAAACGTCAGAAACACTAAATTTTACGGAAGAAATGTCAGAAGGAAGCTGCATCCAGTCTTTTTTTAAAAATGTAAAATGGGCGTGGCGTCGCCCACTTATGGACCAAAAACCACATCTCTTAACACCCTGATGACATGTACCAAATATGGGTGAAATCGGTTCATAACCACGCCTGAAATCTCTTTTATCACTTTATCATGCGAGAGTATAAAATGCTCGGTATCAGACGAACTTAGCCCTTCCTTACTTGTTTTTATTTGCAGTTCTTGTTGTGAATAGTTTAACAATAAATATTTTAAATACATTTATTTATTTATTTATAGCCGGCGGCTAATAGAAGTTTTGGCTACCCCTCATGCTTCGCTGAAAATACTACTATCGGGATGTTTCACTCCAGTTTTTTTTTTCCAACATAATTACATACATAATACATTAAAGAAAAAATACTTGGATGTATGTGCATATGATAAGATTCTTAGCCTAACTTAAGCTGGATGCTCATTTGACAATGTCCAGTAAAAAATCCCATGTTTACGGAAAAATGAAAATTGCTAAGAGTAACTAGTTTAGGAGATCTCCTAGGTCAGAAATATCTCCTGGATGATATATGTACATTATATAAATTGAGAAATATTTACTAATATTTGTATTAAATTAATACGAAACAAACTGAACAGATTTCACAAAGCATTGAGTTTGTCATAATTTTGAGAAGGGTTGAGATATGCCTTAAATAAATTTATTTTTTTAATAATAACTTTACTGAATAGGTATTACTATAGCGGTTCAAAATTAAAAGTGGTTGAAAAATCTTTGGGTTACGTGGATATATTTAGTTAAAATAAGAAGTGCCTCCTCTGTTAAGTCGTTAGGAACACCTTGTTAATTATTCCAAAAAGTTACGAGATTTATCCGCTAAATCTTTGAATTACTTATTCCAATTACAACCACGAGAATCAGGCATATCGACAACAAGTTAATTGCATAGAAAAGCAGTCAAATTCCACTTTTTTATGTAATACTCAAATTACAGGTGGATTTCATCATCTAATCTTTGCTCCATAAGTGAAGCCTCTTGCATGCCAACAATAGAAACAAAATCGAAGCAACTTCATGTCTAATAACAACAAAGAGCAGCAGGAAAAAATCTTCATGTTTCGTTGGAATTTTCACCTGCCGTTACAGGTTGCAAGTCCACTCATCTATTAAACAACAGCATTGTATGTATATATTTATGAATGTGTATGTATGTGCTTACGCGACTACATGTCCTGCAAAATGCACCTGATAACATCAAACGTGCATTCCCGCACAGCAATACTTTTGCGTTTTCGGACCCGAAATACCCATTTATATTTCAAAGATACATGGATGGTTTGGTGCGACTACTTGTCTTAGCGCTTACACTTCGTGGAACAATAGCAACAAAATAGGCAATAAGCCGGAGGTAAGGTGCATTTTTGTTGTATTCTATTGTTTTGATGACCGCTCAAATACATTGCCGCTGCTCAAGTCTCAATTATATGTCATGTATATATTTACTACAACTTCAGGTATTGAATATGCATTTTAGTTTCAGCCTTTATTCCTATTGCATCTTCTCATTCATTTAATGTGAAACTCCTTTTTGGTTGGTCTAAAATTCTCACTCGCCCTCGTAAACCTCTTTTAGCGCCAATAAAAAATGATGGTCAGTTAATTTTCACCTAAATTCAATGAGTTTATTTCGACTTCTTCAACTTAGCCTGCATTTTTTCCTTCTTCTAAATCATACTGCGTTGCATTTGAATGCTAAGCAGTGAAATTTCACCTGCAGTACCCAGACAAGTGCTTAATTACAGTGATTTCCTTTAGCTGTCTGCCGAAACCCTGCATTTATTCCATCCGCCTCCTATGCGTGTGAGTAAAATAAATTATCCTTCGATATACGGTTATATAGATATTGTATGTATATACGTTGCAAGCTGCAGTATGATTGTATTTTCTTGCTTTAATTCGAGGGGATAACTGACTTTAGAAAACGCGTGGCCAATTGAAACCCCCATAATTTGCCATCAATTCCACAAAGTGTAACAATAAAGAAACTCGCTAACATTTCATCAATTTCTTGAGCATCGTTTTGTATTTTTTTTTTTAGTTTTAAATAACCTCTAATAATAATCTAAAAGAGTTTAGATAATATCAACATCTCTCAGGAAGAAACAAGCTCCAAATTTCTTTAATAAACGACTCGTCGATTGCATTCCTTGGAGCTTCTGTAAAAAGTAACAACTTCTGGAATTTTGTGACTAGCCAAGCAAAGTTCCCTCCCGTACACATTAAGAGATCGTGTGGTTTAGGAACATACCCTTAAATCATACTGGTCACTTTCAGGTCCAAAACTACAAGTAAGACAAGTATACATTTAGTAGGTGTATTAAATATTATTTTTTGATAGACGGCTTTAATATTTTTTTTCTCACACTGTATATGGCATTATTTATTTATTTGATTATAATTAGGCGTTAGAAAGATTTCGTAACAAAAAATTTTATTAAAAATGTTATTAAACATTTTTTTATTTTTTTGACTCAGTATTGTGTAAATACCCGTCAATGACGAACACTATGAAATATACGTCATATTTTACATTTTGTCTACGATAAAGACGAAAATGCAAACTACGTGGCTGAAAAAGAGGAGAGCGTTTATGGTTCTAATACTGGAGGATTACATTCCGGTTACTCTGTGAACCTGCGCTCTAATGAATTTAATGTACATATCTCTTAAACTACTAAAGCTAATTTTACTCACCAAAAATATTGTATCAAATATTATAAGAACTCCTATCGACAATTTGAAAATGGATGACATCAAAAGATAGCCCCGCTCACTCCCCATATAACGATATTGTTCAAAACTACTGAAAACGCAATAAATCTATAATTACGCCTGAGATATTAAATTTCACCTCCAAATTTTATGGGAGCCGGTGTGCGAATTGGACAATGGGGTGGCACCGGTACGTAGCATTCTTCTCATATTCCCACTTCACAGTATGAAAATGAGTGAAATCGGACTCACAATCACGCCTACTTCCTATAGAACCCAATTTTAAATTCCACTTGGCTCTTTCAATTTCCAGAGTACAAAATAAGAGATAATAAATAAAACGAAATAAAATTTTCCACTAATAATCCCTTTAACGTTTGTCATCTTATGACCAAAAATTGTCCAAATCAAAACAAAACTATTCAAGCCCCTAACTACCGAATATGTAGAACCCAGTACCTATAGCTGAGTTTTGACCGAAAATATCGCTCAATGTGTGAGATATACCATAGAAATTCCGAGCGAATCCTGTTTTTTTACTTTGTACGACATATTTCCGCCAATATATTTCGGCTCAATGAAAATGAAGGAGCGTATTTTGCTCATAACAGTGTATCTTTGTGCATAATATAGATAAATTTTAGCGAAAACTTGACTTACCCCCATTAAACTAATATCAGGATTTCGAACATTGTTTAGTATGGACATTTTAGTAGTATAATATGTGGTATTGGGAAAGATTGATAAAACGTGATCAATACTACCTTAACTTCCATATACTACATATAATAATTTTCGTATTTGTAACAAACCTTATGTGTATGTCAGTGTATGAGTTATAAACAGTAAATGTATACCTAAAGTCGCTAGGATTTCGATCCTCTGGTTGACGTTTACACATAAAGGTATCTTCCTGGCTTTAATTCTTGCTAGTTGAAAGAGTATAAAATGTTCGATTGCACCCGAACTTAGCTATTCCATACTTATCAAGCATGTTCCAGAAATCGTTTTCGCATGAAAATGATAATGAAATCGTGAGACGGTGTTCTGAATACCACTTTGCGATTACGAATACACATTTTTCGAACATGAAATCGGTGCGATATGGCATGTTCTGGAAATCGATTTCGCAAATTATTTAACGTTTTGATATCGGTCAAAAATAAGAGCGCGAAATTATTGGATTATTGTATTTCAAGCGCTAAGTAAGTCTAAATTAATAAAAAAAAAGAAAATTATTGAATTTGCTTGTAAAACTTAAAATGTAAGTATTTGAGCCAGTTATTTGGATTTCTTCACAAAAATTAATACTTTCCTTTTCTTGTTTTAGGGGAAAACATAAAAGCTAAACTCAGCAAAATATTTTTTTAAATTTTATGGAAAAAAACCCCGACTTGGCAAAAAATTTCGTTAAAGGGGATCGCGTCGCTGCGGAGGCTTTGTGGGCAGACCTTGCCAAAATGTTAAATAGCGAAGGTCYACCGCAAAAAGACGTTAACGGCTGGAAAAAGGTGAGAAAAATATCATGTATGTACATACCTATGTGAACTGCMTTAACATTTTTTTAATAGGTATGGTCCGATTGGAAAGGCTGCATCCGAAAGAAAATCGCATACAACAAAAACAAAAGCAGAGCTACTGGAGGACGGCAATTCAGTAAATTTACCCTGACCCCCAGTGAGGAAGAAGTTGCTCGAATATGTGGAATTTACACGGCGGTGGAAGGCATTGCAAATAGCGCTTCATTTGGAGTAAGCGTTAATTCTGTTGATGTCGAAAACGATTCTTTGGATGCCATTTTAAGTATTGATGAAATTGCCAGCGGCGGACCAAAGTCCACACCACGCAAACGACAGCATGAGGACAGTGTGCAAGATTGCCTCAAAAAGCACATGGCAACAGAAGCAGGTGCAGTTGAGAAGATATCCGATACATTGCAGCTTCTTTCTGCCAATATGGATAAACTGACGAAATTAGTGGCGCAATAAAACCAGCTTATTGCCGAACAAAACGCCGATCGTCGAAAGTATTATCTGGCCAAGCAGGAMAGCTTAATCGCTAAAAATATTATTAAGCAAAAGATGCTCGAAATTGAAGAAATTCGAGTCCAAAGGGATATTTATTTAAAACCAAAAAATACCGAATAATTAATTTTACTAATTATTAATAGTATTAAATGATCTCAGTCATGTGTGATGTTTTTATTGTTTTTTATTGAATAAAAAAATATGAAAATTATACTATACGCAGTTTGTAGATGGCTGCTATGATCAGCAACTTCTTCGTCCATAAAATCGTCCACTACATCTAAAGCAAAGACATCCAGGTTATAATGGCGACAAATGTTGTGCAAAGCACTGCATATATTTATCATTTTTACAACTTTCTCTGGGACATATGGCATAGTTGTTTGAAGACATTTAAAGCGGCTCTTGAGGACTCCGATTACTCTCTCAACGATATTTCTTACTTTGGAGTGTTGTAAATTGAATTTGTGCTGTGGTGACCCAGCGTTTGCATCACGATAAGGGGTAAGTAAATATGGTTCCAAGCCATATCCTGAATCTCCTAGTAGCCAAGATCTATGGTCTCCGCCCACATACCTGGATGAARGATATTGTTTGGCAGCACTTAAAGAAAATATAAAGGCGTCATGACTGGAGCCAGGGTGGCATGCATCCACAGCCGTTATACGCATTCTGTAATCGCAAATCTGTAAAAGAAGTGAATTAATATCAACAACAAATTTCATATTTGTAACTCACAATCATCGCATTAACGCTGAAGTAACCCGTTCTGTTAAAAAATAGATACTCATTTTGGGGGGGCTTCGTAATTTTTATGTGTGTCMCGTCCACACAACCGATTATTCCGGGAATACAAAAATTGTTGAAAAAATGTGCTTTTGACATTTTTATTTCTTTTTCGCTCATTTGTAGTTTAATTCATTTTGGACACAGTGCTTTTTCTAAAGCATTTAGCACCTCATGTAAGACTCTGCACACGGTACTTCTTGCAAGGGATATGTCGGTGTCTTTTCCTACCGAGCGCTGGAATCCTCCCTCTGCAAGGTACCTCAAAATAGTAGCAAGCTTTATTTCAATCGTAATAGATGACGGAGTTATGAATGGTTGGACATCACGAACAATTTCAAGAAACGCTTCTTTACTTATCCTGTAATAGGCAACAAAACTTTATTGGGACAAAAAGCATCTCTTGTGTTCCAAACTTTGTTTTATATATACTTACACGGAATCTGGGATATCCAAGGGATTGGAGTGATCCCTTAAAACTCGCCGCCGAACTTTCTCATTTTTTTCCCATTCATTTTTTGCCAATAAATATGCAGCAATGGTAAATAAGCTCATTTTGTAAAATTCTTTGAAACAAATTTTATTTGTCAATACTCAATCAGCTGTTTCGTAGTTGATTTCGAATTTAAGCCAATTCGCGCGAATTGTGGAACACTGTTACCAAATTCACGCGATTTGCAAATTCGGTGCCGAATTTAAATCGTGCGATTTCCAGAACATGCCTGTATACTCTATACTTTTTCGATCAACCAAAATTGTAATGATTCTGACAGCGCCAATTTTAACAAATCTTATTTCAGACAGATTTAGCTTTTTTAATATATCTGTATGCTTAACTTTACTCGATCAGATGTGGGTTGTGAAGACAGAACAAAGATATGTTGATCCTTATAGAAGCAATAGACTCAAAGTCGATTAATGACAACAAAGTTGATTGGTTAGTTACTAAAGGCTTTGAAGTCGTGACAACGACGTAACTTTTCATCAAAGTTATCAAGCCTCAAAAGGTCTCGAATGGTTTATTCTTAGTTTCAAATGTATCCGCGATTTGCTATAAATTCCCGAAATAAAACCATATTTTCAATTAATCTTCTAAAAAACTACAATTCCCAATTTGGTTATGAATAAATGGTTTGGTCCGTAGTAAAATGATTCAGTTTCTTTGGGCGTGTAATACGGAAAACAAATAAGAGAGCTAATTTTAGGTGTTAGTATTTGGAGACTCATTTGCTTTGAGAAATTCGTATTTATTGAAGTTATATTGTTTCCTGTAAAATTTTATATAAAGACAAAATAAAGATTATATAAAGTCAACATTTTTAGTACCTCTTAGACGTGATTTCTTGTAAATTTGTAATTTTTTTACTTTTATTTAGCTTCACATTTGATAATTTTGTATATGTAATCAAGTCTAGGCTTTTGAATAAACAATAGCATTTTTTATTAAACACTAACTCCAGGTAAATAAATTTTCAGATTAATTTTGCTTGTATATTAAAAATTAAATTACTATGCATATTTGTTTGTCGTACTTTCTTTGAAATTCTATGTTCCTTAGAAATTTCTACCCAAACGCCGGTCTTTTACAATTCAGCGCAGAGCACTGGAATAACGTCGCCACAACAAATGCGAAGCGAGTAAATAGACGAAAACGCTTTTGTATTTGCTGCGGGTAATTAAAAAGTTGACGAAATTCACACCTGCAGGAGAGATTTTTCACACCTCTACAATACAACTGTTGTTGTTGTTAACAAACACGCAGGAAGCAAAGTTAAATGGAAAAAGCGTGAGATATCAACCATAATGGTGATAAGAGACGCCTCGAACTGTTGATTAGGGATGTGTAGATATGAAGTAAGTGAACCTATTGCTATCCCGTGATTTTTGTTTTCATCCCGCTTAAACTATTTACGAAGGTGTACCTTTCCCAAACCGCTTTTAAATTTTTCGAAGTCTCTATTATAATACATAAAGTAACCTTAATAAAACCAAGTTAGTGACATTAAAAACACTCTCGACATTAATAGAATTTGAAAGAAAACTATGGAATCCCTTACCTTTTTGAATGGACAAAATTATATAGATGGACAGAATATGAGCATCGCTCTACCGACTCTTAAATCGTTATTGCCGAGTTAACAACAGCACGCCTGTCGTTTCTTCCTTTCGCAAGGAGGCGCCAATTGGAAATTCGAAGCGAAACCAGTTCCTTTTCCACCTGGTACTTCCAACGGACTGGAGGTCTTCCTCTTCCTCTGCTTCACCCTGCGTCGAATACTTTCAGAGCTGGAGTGTATTCGTCCACAGACGACATGACCTAGCCAGGGTAGCGCTGTCTTTTAATTCGCTGAAATATGTCAATATCGTCGTATATTACGGACACTTCATCGTCCCATTGAATGCGATATTCGCCGTGGCCAACCCGCAAAGAACCATAAACCTTCCGCAGAACTTTTCTCTCAAAAATCGCGACGACCAAATACTTTGGGAATCCCGAAATCTAAATCATCTCTACTCTACCTTGGATGATGGGAAACTTGTTAAACGCATTGTTTGATAGTTGGCGTTTTTCGTATCACTTATTTGTTTGGCAGTGAAGCAAATTATGCAATAAAGATTTACTTTATGCTCTTTTTCTTATCACTACAGTTTTCGGAAGAAAGGCACAAAGCGCAAACAAAATATGTTTCGGCTGACCCTGACAGGGAATACGCGACGTCCAGTCTGTGTAAGTTGTGATAAATATGATGTGAGACAAAGTGAGTGTGTAAACTAACTGCGGTTAGGAAAATAGTAAATAAAGTATGATTCAGAGGAAATTCCCCTCTTATCGCCATGAATAACTTGTTAATATTGGTGGCAGGAATTTTCCTAAAATGTCAATATATGTACAGGACCAGCAACGTGTTGAATGCAAATTGACCTTTTCACTTTATGCTTTTATTTAAATTTTTGTTGAAAAATTTCAATGTACCGCCTAATTGGTATCGAAAAGCAGCAGTTTGCTGACTGCCGGTTAAAGGAGGCCGCTGCCTCAAAGTCTAATGAATTCAGATATATGACTTTATATACATATGTATATATTTAAGTGTATATGGTATTCGAGTATGTACACAGGTGTTTCCGCAGCATCATCGATAAAGTTTCATCAAATTCTGTGGCCCTCATTAACGACTAATAAACCTTTATTGGTGCCGCTCGAGCGCGCTTTCAAATAAATGCTAGAAACAACCGTGTAAATGGACCCACTTGAATGGTTTTGCTTTTTGTTTTTTCCAAAGCACTCACTTAAATTATTTCTTCGAGCCTCAAATGTGCTTATTTTGACAAATTTACATAACACCATGACATTGTTATTGTTATATTACATAAGCTGAATACAGGGCTGCTGCATATTATAGGCCAAATTTTTATACCCTGAACGGGGTATATTAAATTTTCACGAAGTTTGTAACACATAGAAGGAATGGTTGGAGACCCTATAAAGTACATATATGTATGTATATATAAATGATCAGTATGTCGAGCTGAGTCGATTTAACCCTGTCCGTCTGTCTGTATATATACGAAATAGTCCCTCAGTTTTTAAGATATCCTTTTGAGTACGAGTTATTGTTTATAGAAATAATGTAATATCAGAAGAAATTGTTCAGATCGGCTCACTATAGCATATAGCTGCCATACAAACCGAACAATCTGCATCAAGAGCCTATATCTAAAACTTTGATCTGGTATCTTCACGAAATTTGGCATGGTTACTGCTTAAGTAACAATATAAACTCCAAAAAAAAAATTGTTCAGAACGGATTACTATAGCATATAGCTTCCATACAAACTGAACACATAGTTACTAACAGAGATTCACCTGTGAAGGGTATTTAGCTTCGGTGCAACCGAAGTGAACGTTTTTTCTTGGTTTTTTGTTATTGTTACTTTATATAACTATTACACATTTTGTATTCATTTTCTTATTTGATTGCGCCGAAAAATCCGACTTTTTCTTTATTTTTTCTGTGCTCTGTTCTTGTAAATCTCGCCGCTCGCATTACGGCCCCATGATTTGAATAATAAAATATTCTATTGTGCAATTAACATAAAAAGTCGTAAAGCGTAAACAGGCAATGCAATTGTGCCGCAAACACATTCAACACACCGAAAAAAGGTAGCCAGACCACAGCCAATAAAGATTTTATGACGCCCTGACTTGAGCGCTTGAAATCTCAGCAGCTCCTGTTCACACACCTCCCCTACAACTGTTGTTTTTCCGTTTTGGGAAATCCGAGAGCTATGTGCAGTGGAGGGTTTTTCCGCAGGGCCTA